TTTGCGATTGAATAATTTTTTCACTGATATCAATAAAAAATAAAACTAATCAAAAATGATTTTTTAAGAAAACTTTTTTAAATTTTGAAATTATTTCGTGCAATGAATGTATTTGTGGAAGAAATGAGTAATTGATTGAGTAATTTAAAGTTGAGAACTCTCAAATAATTCTTCGAAAATTTTTAAAATTGTCATCAAAAATGAGTAAGAAGTAAACATTACTGTGCATTATTCATACTTGCCAATTACTCTGACTTATAATGTGTTTTCATTTATATTAATACTCAATTAGTATATTAATTTCGAATTAAAACTAGCAAATATTTTCTTTCTAATTATAATTCTGACAAAAGTAATTAATGAAACAGTAAAAAGACAATAAAAATTCTTACACTGAAAAAAATATTAAAAAAATAAGTAAAATGAAAACATGTATTTTAGTCGAGCAGTTAATTAATTAATTAATTAATTAATTTTAATTTAGTTTAATTAATCGAATAATTGATTGATGGATTTTAAAAATAATGCGCAATATGCCTATGTTAGACTTGCAAAAGAACGAAAAACAAAAATAGACACAAACAATAAATTAAATGAATGCGTTTGTTTGCATCATTATTTGTGCTATTCACTACTGCTCGATGGCAAATAGATATTCTTCGCATTAAGTGAGCATCAAAGTAGCGGAAATCAATTTAAGAATAATTATTCATTCACACCCTCAATGAACTCTTCTCGTTCTATGCGACAACAGTCTAAGTAAGCTTAAAAGTAGTCTAGTCTAGTCTAGCAGTTAAAATAGTTGTATTTACAACACTTCAAATTTGTAACTAAATTGGAAGAAAAAAATGCAAGAAATTGCAAAAACATTTCATTGAAATATTTAATTCTTTGTACAATTTTAATTATTATTAGAAAAATTTGAAAGTATTTGAAAAATTGAAAAGAAAAATCTTAAAGAATTACGTGTCAGTAATGTATGTTTTATACTTAATTTCTTTGCTTTATATATCAGTCATTCAAGAATTTTGCATCTTTACAATCTTATTAAACTATAGCAAGAATTGTTTATAGTATTAGTAATTAAATAATTACATAAATATGTAAACTGCTGAGAGTGGGCAAAGATATCAAAATGTCTGTCAATATAATCACAGTGCTGAAATGGATGTAGTATGCAAATCACTGAGAATTTTGATAATTCATCAAATATATGCAAATTTTAGACAGTTAAGCATAAATAATATCAAATATCAGTTGTTAGCATTAAAAATTTTGATACTAATCGAGTATATATATGCAAATTTTAGTCAGTTAAACATAAATAATATCAAATATCAGTTGTTGTTATGATAATTATGCAATTTAAAAGGCTGACAAATTGACGACGGCAATTTTCGTATGTTTATTCTTGTAGAATAATAAACAATCTTTAACAGAAAGCATTCCCTCCTCTTTCTTTCTTTTTAGCTATTACTATTGCTAAATGAATGAAAAATAAAAACTACTTTTAGCAAAAAACTTTTTGTTAAATTTTGTATTATTAAAACTTTTGTTAGTATTTGACTGATAATAATAAAGTATTTATTGATTTTTATTTATATTTTATTTTGTTTTTTGTAAAAATAATATTTAAGTAAATTTTCTTATTGACTTTATTACGACTACAAATTGATCATTTCATGTAGTAACTCTAACTAATTGTAGTAGTTTAGTAACAGTACACAAACGAGAAAAGCACTTGCCAGTAGTTCTTATCCTTGCCAAGCGTTCAAACAGTTTATACAGTCAATGCAAAAAATTCTGCAGAAATATCCTTCTTTGCTAGCAGGCAAATTTTATGACTGCTCGCGTAATTTCCAGCACAAACGCTTCACACTTTACTCAAAATTTAAGTCTTTTATTGCACAAACAAATCTTTGTTACCATTTTATCATTCAAAAAAATAATTACTAAAAAATAAACTTAATAATTCAAAAAACACAAATATCACAGCCAATTCTTTTTTCTCTAAAAAAATTAAACTTAATTACTTTTCATATTACCAGAAAACAAATATTAATAATTAGTACTTTTTATAGTACCAGAAAACTTAATCCAAAAATTTACGCACACATACTGTTGTTTTCAGCAGCTGTTATTAATGAAGCCACTACATTGTCAATTACGTGACTTACACGTGCATTATGTAGGCTCTAAACAAAATTTCATTTTTTTT